AATCCCCACTCCAAATGTAAGTAGCTTGTTTGTTTCCTGCTGTCTCCCTTCCAGGAAACCTCGTTCTCCTTTCTTCCCTTTTTTTAGGATGTGTTTTTAGCCTTCTCTCTGATTCTTCTCCTGATCCTAACCCTTTTTACTTCAACCCACATGAGTTTCTGTTGATACTACTTTTTCTGCACAACACCTTCTGAGTACTTCTGTAAGGAATGGAGTGAAACCGAACCGAGGTGGTGCCTGGTTTGTTTCCTTGGTGCTTGTCGAGGAAATACTCTGTGCAACAATATCACAGACAATGCCCTCGACTGCTGTAGCATGGGACCCCACTGTGCAGTAGATTAAAACTTGTAAAATACCTGAGCCAAATGCCAGCAAGCAACACAGAATTGTGCCTTGCAATGTATAGATGTACTTATGGCAAAGATGGAGAAATTTGCTATGGCTTTTTATTGGCATTTCCCTTCAGAGAGCTCTGACAGCAGTAAATTATACTTGGGGATTATATGCATAATCTTAACTGGCCAGTGTTGCTTAAGAGATTCTGTAGATAAAATATGTCGTTCACACTTTAGTGTTGCTCTTTAAGACAGTGTACTCTGAAAATGGGAGTTACTTTGAGTAGTAATTCCTTTTTTAGTTTTTGTAACTAATAAACAGCTGCCATCACAATTTTAAATTTCTCAGTTACCTGGGAAACAAACCAAGGTGTTTCTGTGGTAATGACATTTTGTGATTCTATCTGCCTGGTAGCTGTGCAGTTCTTGGGTTATGAAACACTCTTGAATTGTATGGAGGCCTGTGAATTGGTCATGTATTCTACTTTATTCAGAGCTTCAAGCTTTGAATGACTTAAAGGAAGACTAGCTTATTTCCTGAAGGTAAATTTTGTTTAGTTGCAGTGTGTATTCTTTTTCATAGTTTAAGATAATCATATAAGGGTACTGATGAAAATATTCTTATGAATTCATTCATATTATTTTTAAGCAATTAATTTAAAGCTGCAAAGTGATATACTTCCTCAACAAAAGAGAAGTCAATCTTAACTTTGACATGAGAGAGTAGGCCACAATTAATATTTTTTTTAAAAAACAATAGCTTTCCTTTGACAGTTAATGGTTGTTATATATATATAGCTGCAAGAATGTAGTTGAAATGATCATCTTCTTTTGAACATCTTTAATTTGTTTTTCTCTTTTAATTCAGGGTTATGCCTTTTGACCTGCTAAAATTCAATAATGTAGATATTAAGAATTGTTAACTTGGTGTCTAAATATAAGTAGAAGTAAAAAAAAATTCATTTCCTTGAAATACTTTTTCCCCCAAATACACATTAATCTGATTTTTTTATTTAATCATTTCATGTGTCTAATGTGAGAATGAACTGAGTTCTCAAGAAATAACAGACTAACACGAAGGGATTCCTCACCCAGTTTTGCTTAGGATCTTAATCCCAACCTGTGATGTTCCTGATGTTGTAACAAAACACATCACTCTGAATCAACAATACTCTATAAACCTGAGTGCCAGCAAACACAGCCCACTGTTGCTCTTTCTGAAAATCAACAAATTTCCAAAATAAGTTATTCAGTTCAGAGAAATGCCTCATTGTCTTTAATAAGAATAATTATTAAATAGTTTACACTAACATACAGTGGTGAATGCTCAGACACAAATTATTGCTTTTGTAAGTAGAGCAGTCTTCCCCCTCTGCTCCCAGCTCTTTAACCTCGATGAAGGAAAAATTTCTGTATACAAAGCTTCAACTAATGAATAAAATATAAGTGGTAGTATCTCGTCATGACTGATATCAGTTACCTGATTATGTATTTACAATAATCACTAATATAAAACTGAGAAGGATCATTTGATTTGCATAACTGATTTTCATCAGAAGTTAAATCAGCCATCAGGAAGATTTAATTTAAATAATCTGTCCAAATTTTTTTTCTACATTTGTCTTATTTAGTTTTTTTACTGATGTAGTTTTTTTTCTTGGTTGGTAAAAACAAAAATTGTATATAATATATATAATATATACCCCATCTATATTATAATGTAACATATGCATATTCTGATTCTTAATTTTTAATTTAGCAAATAATGATGCCTTTTTATTGGGTTATTTTTAGGTGATTTGTATCCAGTGCTGTTTGAATTAAAATATTTAAATAATATATGCAAAATAACATTTTTAATTTATTAGCTAAATAAAATTTTCATATTAGCTGGGTACATGTATCTTTTTTCTTACCAAAATATATTTTTCCTATAAGAATATGTTGTGAGTTGACTGAGTGATGCTTCTAATTAACATAAATACATTTTATACATCAATACCTATTTTAATTCATTGTTTTGAAGTTGAAGAAAAACAGTTTTTCTTGCTTTTCAAATCCTGATCATTTTCTCAACTTTGGATGAACAAGTCTTTGCACTTAACTAACTGAATACACTGAAATTAAGATAATGTTTTCCTCAGTATCTGAAGACTAGGCTAATACAGGCAAAACCTGGCTTGGGAATATATAGAACTTCCCTTTCAGGTGTTATACCACTGAAGAGCACAGCAATTAGACTTTCTTTAAAAATTTAGCAGCAAACATACTACTAATTTTTTATTTTAATCTGTTTATTTTAATGTTATTGAATCCATGTATAATTTATAAGCCTTAACATAGGGTGTCGTGACTTCAAATTTACTTTTGAATATTTTTCTTTTTAAAAAGGAATATATTTATTTTAAAATCCATTCATAAACCTTTTCTTTTTAAATATATTTTTATATACCCTGAGATAATCAGTCATGATGATACAAAAACAATGCAGCTGGATTTCTAGTCTTTCAGGGCTTTTATACACATGCAGGGAGGCTGCTCTGATGTGCTGTATGTAATTACAGTGCATTGTACCAGACTCGATTAATTTGAAATAGGATTAATCAAGTCTGCTGGAGCGTGGTAATTACCACATTCCGACAGACTCCAGGTTCACATATATCAGCGTCCCTGTGCTGAAAAATGGCAGGTCTGCTTCTTTGCGGGCCAGATCTGGCCCACAAGTTGTAGATTGCCAACCCCTAATATAGGGCAGTTGTTAACAACTTCTCTTGCCTCAAAGTTCCCCTCTACTATCATTTTTAATTTAGTGGCATCCCATTTCAAAATCTATTACAGTGCATTTTTGACTAAAGGCAAAATTATTTTTCTGCTGGCCATAACAAAAAAAATAACAGAACAATTCTTCTCCTGGCCACAATGGGTCACATGCTGTAGATTCCTATGTGAAATCTCTTCAATACAAACACATGTTTAAGTGTTTGCAAGTGTAACAGTGCTAATGCATAGCATCCATAAAAGAATCTCACAACTCCCTGGTTGAGAATCAGTGATAGAGGGTGTCCTGATTCAGATTGGAGTTTAGGATGGGTTGTTGAAAGGGTCAAGAAATGCATGCCACAAAAATATTGTATGGTAATATTAATTTTCTAAGTAAAACAATTGTATAAAGAAGCAGAGTAACTTGTTAGTCAGCAATAACACTGGATGTCCTATTCTTTGAGATTCAGCCAGTGTGATTTCACTAATGTTGGCTGAAATCTAAAAGTAAAATGTTTCAATAGTCTTTTTTTCTGATATTACTTGAGCTTTTTTAGTTCAGGGGTGTCAAACATATGGCCTGTGGGCCAGATTCAGCCTGTAGAGTCCTACAATCTGGCCAGTGGTGCTGCCAATAGTTTAGATGCTCCCCGTGTGCTCTGTGAAGAGCGTGCACTGGCTCCAGCTCTATGTGTAGCACCTGCCAGACCTGCGTGTGCTGGGCTAATCCAGGCTGCACACCACATGCTGTGTGCAGGGCTGCTCTGTGGGCCCAACCTGCCTGGGCTGGATGAGTTTGATACCCCTGCTTTAGTTGAATGTGTGGACATGCTTAATCAAATATTTTTTAAAAATCCAATCAAAACTTAAAAAGTTGGAGTCAAACAGTGATGTCTTTTGTTTTTTAACATGGGGAATTATGTTTCAGGAGATTCCTAAATAGGCATCAGTCTTTCCCATTTCAGCCAGGGTGTTTGTAGACAAAAAAAACCCCAATACAATGGTGCTTTACTTTAAATTTGGTGCGTTCCCGCATGAAGCCCCAGGCATGTCCAGAAGAGGCAGTGCATTACTTCAACCCAAATCACCCAACATCTGTAAAGATCAGGCACTTTAGTGGGGCTTTTTTAGCACTTTTATCTAATAGCTGATTGCTGCTGCATCTGGTAAAGCACATTTTTTTTAACATCTGCAAGCAACCTCAGTCACTAAATAAAGGAAGTGCAATCACTGATAAACAGACAGCTATTGCATGATGTGTTTTGCAGTAACTTGTAGATTTTTTTCAGTTATGTTTTATTAGCATCCACAAATTATACCCTATTTATAGGAATGTTCAGTTGCATACTGTGGACCATCTCTCTGTCTATTATTCACCATTATTTAACTTCCCTGTGTTAACTGTAATGATTGATTACATAAAAAAATAACATTAGGGAAGTACATGTATAATTGCTTTAATGTTCTGTCTTTTTTTAAAAGTTAATCCTACTTCCTAAATTTATACTGCTTGATTCGCTTCTCTTATCTTGGTTGAATGTTCTGATTCACAGGCAGTGCCAGTTCACAAGGGGGTTTTATGTCTCCTGTCCTTTCTTATATTAAATGTAATGTTTAGTAGAGGCAGCTATGAAGTTTGCTTCTTGTTTGCAGTGTAAAAGCTGGAAATGGAGAGAGTGATATGTAGTCACTTAAATGCAGCCCACAGTTTCTGTAGTATATTAGAAAACCTGTGTAAGCTACCGTGGTCCCATACACTTTGTACAAATTGCCTGGAAAGTGTTCTTTAGCTGTCAGCACTCTTTTTTTTCTTTTACAGCTAATTAACTAGTTTAAAAAAATCAGTTGATTGCATATATAGTTAAATTCTATAAATTGACTAAATTGTATTTTTTTCTGTTATAGGAAATGCATAATTTTGAGGAGGAATTAACATGTTCCATTTGCTATAGTATATTTGAAGACCCACGTGTGCTACCATGCTCCCACACATTTTGTAGAAATTGCCTAGAAAGTGTTCTTCAGCTGTCAAGTAACTTTTCCATATGGAGACCACTGAGGCTTCCACTGAAGTGTCCAAGTTGTAGAAGTATTGTTGAAATTCCTCCATCTGGTACTGAATCGTTACCTATCAACTTTGCATTGAAGGCTATCATTGAAAAGTATCAGCAAGAAGACCATCCAGATGTTGCTACATGTAGTGAACATTATAGACAGCCATTAAATGTTTATTGTCTTTTAGATAGAAAATTAGTGTGTGGCCATTGTCTTACGATAGGTAAACATCATGGTCATCCCATAGATGACCTTCAGAGTGCCTATATGAAAGAAATAGAGACTCCTGGGAAACTCCTTGAACAATTGACTGATAAACATTGGAGTGATGTGTGTTTGCTAATTGAAAAGTTAGAAGAACAAAAATCTCAGTGTGAAAATATAGTTCAAGATGATAAGAAAGCTGTAGTGCAATATTTTAAGAAACTTAACGAGACATTGGAACATAAAAAGCAAGCTTTGCTAGCCGCCATTGAAAAGATGAAAGGAATAAGAGAAGAACAGCTTGATTTAATGTCACTGAACACATCTATTAAAGAAGAGTCATCTCCACTTGTTTTTCTTGAGAAAATTGATAATGTGCGCCAACGTGTAAAAGCGTTGAAACAAAAGCAACTACCAGATACCAAGCCTTTTGAGATTTATCCACGAGTGGGACAGCTGTTGAAGGATGTATGGTGCAAAACTGAAATTGGTCAGATTAACAAGATCCTCACTCCAAAAATAAAACTTGCTTCAAAAGGAAAGGTATGCAAGAAAAACAATGAGAAGGAAAGAGGACAATCTAAGGAATTCCTGCAGTCTGTAAACCCTCTGGTAGTGATGCTAATATCTATAGTAGTAATAATTATGGTTTCGTTTAGCAAACCTTTATTGTCAGTTGTTGTAAGTGATGCTACTTCATTTGGTATTTCAGAAGTGTTGCAGTTTGTTTATCAGGATTTAGATCAAATCTTGCAGACAGTAGTGGAAATACTGTCCCATACATCTGATTTACTGACAGAATTTATAGGGAGAATTGTTTCTTTCTGAATTTCAAATCTTAGATTAATAATTGGAATAACTAGGAATATTCATTCTAAATGAAGTCTTTCACAAGATTTTTTTGTCCAGTTTATATCTAAAAGCTACTGAAAGGTTCATCCCTTTAAAAAAAATGACTCTAGGTTATTTAGTAAAAAAAATAAACGCAGTTTAATCAGATTTTTTTTTCAGAAAGGATATCTATTACCAACCCCCATTTAACAAGGGTATAAATTCATGTACTAAATAATTAATAATGGACTCTTTTTTAAATCTCAAATTTTGGACAAAGCTGAGAAGAGTAAATGGAAGTACCAGTCACTGACCCCAGCATATTGAAAATCTTGTATTATGTACTTCATTGATTTTTACATACAGGGTTGATTGGGCCTACTATTTGTTCATGGTCACGTATGAAATGACTAGGGTTTCATCTGGGTTATTAGTGAATCATGTTACTTTGCGTTTTTCTTTTATACATAAATACAGATACAAAGTCATGGGGACATCCTTTCAATTAGAGATAAATATGTTTCTCTAGAACTTTTTGGATGATACATTTTGAAGATACTTGGCAAGAGTATAGTCCTGAAAGGTGTTGAATGTGTGTGGCATTATATTGTTCTATTCAGCAAATATTTGCTGCCTTATGAGGTTGGGCCACTTCTTGCTAAATGTTGAGTGGACCCACAAAAGCCATTGGGAAACTCCCATTCAAATTAATGGGAACAATTTCAATTCTTGATTAGAACTCTGGAAAGAACAACATGAAATAAAAATACAGTGTAAATAGTTTCTTAAATTACAAGAATAATTGAGATCTAGTCTAATTCAGTCTGAAATAAGTGTTTATGTTCCTAGTATATAATCAGATTAATTTAAACCATGGCATATTCCATTAGTTAAGATGCTAGGAACTCCATACTCACACTGAAGTCAGTAGCAAAACTCCCTGTAGAAACAGGATTTTGCCCCCTTAGGTTTTTTGGTTTTTTTTTTAATAGGCAGAGTAATCCATTAACAGTGAAAAAATTTCCAGTTGCACCAGCCCATAGATTGTTGCTGTAAGGCTACCTAAACACATCTGAGTTCCAAGTGATAATTGATGCGTTGTAAAAATTTCTTAGTTTTTTTCATAATATGCTAACAGGTAGCCCTTAATGACAATTGTAACTGATTTTATTGTAAAACAATCACACATGATGTATTATGGCATTGTTTCTGAACTATTGCATATTTTAAAATAATGTAAACACAATTATTAAACTCTGAGAAACTACAGTTTTCCACATGACATTTTAAAAGCTCACTGTGAAAAGGCAGAAGGCTTCTCTTTCCTTCTCCCTCCTCTCCCCCGCATCCCCGCCAAACGAAAGCTTGCTTTTGCAAGATGCCAAGAGCCTTGAACTTGCATTGACTTCAGTGACAGTTTGAGGGCAGTCAGATCAAGCTCTGAATTTAAGATATTAACGAATTAAGTAATTTAAGACTTAAAATTTTGGGGCCAGTAATCATCATGACCAAGCAAGATTGGATTATTTTCAGTAATGAATGCATTAAAAACAAGACACTGTAATAGGATAATTTAAAGTGACAGCTCTTATATATGCCATATAACTAAGGGTCTGTATCCCAAATAATTAATTTTAGCACTCAGTATCAAAAAATCATACTGGCATAGGTCAGCCCAAAATGTAAGATTTAAAAAATAAATTTCCCAGTGTCAACTTTTTTTTTTTTAAAGAAATACTATTAGTAGGTCTTTATTCAGAGCTGATGATTCCCTGTTAGACTTTGTAACCCGAACAAAACAGCAGTCTGTTAGGAGAGAATTAATTATTTTCATTGACAAGGCTGAATCAAATGGAAGAAGTAAGTAGCCAGCATAAAAGGAGTCCAGACCAGTTATGTGTAGATCTGTGGTTCTAATAGGTTACATTTAAAGTAAGGATAGCACCAGGTAGATGCTTTGTGGGCAAGTCGGTATGCTTTTCTTTAGACCACTACCCATTAAGCACACAGTCTATATTCAACGTAGAAAAGTTCCTATAATCTCTATCATATAATAATATGTTAGAGTTTATATAGGTAACTTCCCTTGACATTAACCACCAGATTTTTTAAAAGAGATATTTAAGCTCTTACTGGAATTTTCAGAAACTTCTGAGTACTTAACTTTCATTAAAACCAATGGGAGTTAGGCAGGTATGACCTTTTGCTTTTGAAAATCCCACTGTGCTGCTATCTGCATTATTAAATACCTAAATACTTTTAAAATTTGATACTTAAGTGCATGTCTGTTGAGGAGTCTTTTTAGGACATCATTCCTCTTAGAATGTCTTATGTTAATTTTCTGGCTTTTTAAAAAATCTTTTATAAAAATTTATAATCTAGTTTTATATTACAAATATCCTGAATTTGTACTATTTCACGTACTTGGTATTTTAATAAATATGTATCTAAATAAAAATACGTTCTTATGGGAGAGGGATTCTCCATGTCTCTCTACTATTTGTAACTCGTAAGTATCTGGCTGGAATGAGGCAGTGAATTCTGACATAGGAGTGTCAGTCTCATTGAAGCAAGTACTTTTGAATTGAGGATTGTACAGTGTATCCATCATTCCTTAAAATTCTGTATTCTTTGTATGATGATGCTTCCACTTATTTAGCTTAGAAGATGTTTAATACATTTATAACTGAGAGAAGAAATGTTGAAGATGCTCTCTGGAGAGTCTTGTCATACTGCAGGTGGGTCTGTTGGCTTATATTCTTAAGAAGTCTAATTTCTTTTACTGTTTTAGTTGGTCTTTCTAGATTTAGTAGTGCAGAATTGGTGTAACTGCCAAAAGTCTCCAGGAAAATCTTATTTTTCTGAATACTTTTTCAATAATGGTATGTCTACTCTGTTATGTGTACTCAAGTCCTGACTTAGATGTATATCGCCTGTCTGTCCTCTGAGCATCCATACAGCAGAACCTCACACAACCCATACCTATGTATCTGTGTTTATGGTGGTATTTAAGTCACGTTGATTGGGCTCCGAGTTTTTTATGTGTCTTGTTTCTGCCTGGATTTTTAGTGCCTAAAAAGTTTAGCTGCTCTAGGAATATATTTGTAGCATATTGTGGGAACATTTGTCTATCCCCACCCAGCTGAGCATAAGTGAGTTTTAGACTACTGAAATGTTATCTCTACTTATTCCTTGCTTCTGTCCTTCCCAGCCAGTGCCAGAGCTAGGATTTAGTGCATGTAGATGAGCCATTCTTGTTGTGAAATAACTTTTATTACAGCAGGATAGATATTTTTCAGGTGGTGGAAAGCATTTCAGGAGCTGTTTCTAATCCATGGAAGACAGAAGGACTTGAAAAGGGAACTACCTATGCCAGAGTAAGACTACTTCTCTGTTGCTGCACCAGTGGATTGCTCATATGCAGTTGGAGGACAAGTAGGTGAGCATAGTGGAATCACATTGTCATGGAGATCTGAGGTGATCAACAGTAACTCCAGAACTTCTACCCATTGAAGCATATTTTTAAGGAGCTATGTAAAGAGACTGTCCCTGGCTCTCTAGCACTTGGACGTTTTTAAATGATGGAGGCTGCACCACTCCACAAGCAGTGTTATCATGTGAAAGCTATCTATCTCAGATTGGTACAGGTGTTTGCTAGTGACAAGTCATATTTCCAATTCAAATTTTACAACTCAAAAGTTTTCCAGTGGCTGCATGATAGGGGTAGCATGGAGGTGAATCTGTGTATACCTATGGTGAAGGTGGCATTGGGGCCTATTTTCTTATGACTATTAGGGGACCACGGGCTAAAATACAGTATTTTCTCACAAACCACATGCCTCCGAATAAGACGCGCGCCTTGGCAGAATGAGTAAAATAAAACTTGTTCCAGAGTCATGGCCAAAAGTTGACCTGTAGAGCAAGGGGAAGAACTTGCTCTTCAGCTCACTACCCACCCCTCTTAGTCCTGCTCAGGCAAATGCTAGAGCTAATCCTCTTATAGTTGCTGAATTGGCAGCAGCTCTTGGCGGCTCAGCCAAAAACTACTTCCAATTTGAGAGTGGCTATAAGAGGGTTAACCCTAGCTCTGGCTGAATAGAGGGCTTTGCCTCTTCTGCTTGTTGTCCTGGAAAGAAGGAAGATGAAGGGAAACCATTGCATGCTTCTATTCCAGCATAGAAAATTAGCTTCCCTGCTTAATACATGCACCCCAATTTTGGGGGGGTTAATTTGGTGGGGGCTATGTGTGTGTGTGGTATGTAAGTAAGTACCATAATGTCCAATCCTGATTCTCACTCCCTTGACCATTGTCAAGACAAGTGGCAAAGTCTGTTTTGTTCCTCCTTTGCTTTTTTCTTACTCCAGGTGCTTACAAATTCCCGTTATATCTGATAGCGAATTGTCTCCAAGTCTCCATTTTTTCTTCTGTGCTGATTGAAGATCTCCTCAAGTGTCCTGTGTTCTGACTTTGGAATAGCTGAGTTGGAAAGATTTTCCAAGAAAAGTGCATTCTTTCTCCCCCTGATCTCTCAGTACAGAAGGAAAAAAGAAAAATCCTTGCTTTGTTCCATGCCATAAGGCAGGGCGTCAGATATATACAGCCTGTGGAGTCCCTTTTACTATGCTGGACCATCCCTGCATGCAGTGCCCGGGCACCTGTGGCACACACTGGATGTAATTCCAGGCTGCACCACATGCAGTGCCTTGCACAGGAAGGCAGGTGCTACCTCTGCTGGATCAGGAGTAGGGGAGAGGGAGGCCCATGGGCCTGATTCAGCCTGTGAACTAGCTCCATGCCACTCATTTAGCCTGCAGGGCCAGGTGAGTTTGACACCCCTACCATAAGACAATCACATACCAACTTCTTATAGTTTTCTTTTTCCTTACACTGGCCTGGCCTGACCCATTCAGAGCTTATCTAGAAATGGAACAGACTTTAGTTAGAATCTCGTATTTAATTCTTTTGAAATGTTTGGGGGATTGGGGTTGGGGAGGATTGTTTCAGATAGTTGGATCAGTTACCAGTTTCGATTTCAATACTCAGGTTGAAGAAGCATATTATTCCATGATTCTCAGAGTGAGAGAAACACCAAATTTGTCAGGCTGTTGGTGGAATTGCATTTATATATTCAGATTTTTAAATCGTCTAGTGAGCAAATAACATTTTAAGGAAGGGAGAGGGCTGGGAGAATTGTTGGGGTACTTGGTTGAAAAGCTGTCCTACCCAGAAATCTCATTTGGAGAATTTTTCATGTACCTGATACAGCCCTTAGGACTTGCAGTGCAGTCTGAGAAACTGCTTTAATATCCGTAACAGTATATCATTCATTCTGTTTGCCTGGCACATCTATTAATCTGTCATTCTATATCATTTAATTTGTCTGGAAGTTACAAAGAGAGAAGTATATGCAGTATATTATTTGCTAAGCCTGTTAAAATATTTTGAACTGAAAAGTTAATATACAGTAATCACTGTGTATTTAACCCGCACCCCCACTTTGAATCAAGATTACATAAGATGAATGGAGCTGATAAATGATAGGGTTAGTTTCAGCTAAGGATAGAAGCCATTTCTCATTGAGTGCCTTCCTAACCATGGAACTGTCTAGAGATGAGCACACGTACATGGTTTTTTAACTGCTTCCATGACACCAAGTGGGTAGATTTTACTTACACATTTTACCACGTGTTCCCTACTGACCAACATGTATATAAATATACAGATGATGGGTTTGGGGGTGGGTGCTTGAGCAACAACACATAGTAAACGGCAGCTTTCAGTATACAATTACTGTAAGGGTATGGACATATTTAAGGTCCTACCAAATTCATGGCAGAAGCAGGCTGTGCTGTGGCTCCTTTAATCTTGTAGGTTCCCCCATGTGCCCCTCCACCACTGATTGGTGAAAGGACCGCACTTGCAGCTCATTTCTGATTGGTGAGGAGGTGAAAACTGTTTTAAATGGGGTGGCATTTTTGCCTCTTTCCACTGATTGGCTGAGGGACCCTGGTGCCCTGATGCTTGTTGCTGACCACTGGGTAGGCAAAAACCATGCCATGTTTAAAACCATGGCTTTCACTTTCCTGCCAATCAGGAGGGAGCAGTGGGACCCATCTGCCAAATGACAGAGGGGAGGGGCACACGGGGGAACATGAAAGGTGGTACGGAATAGGGCTGTGCAAAATTTCAGCAGCTGTTTCATTCTGGAGGTGTTTTGACCCGTTTTGGTGACCAAAACGCCAAATCCGAAATGAACCGGAAGGCTCTG